AGTGGACTTTTCGATTTTGGGGTCGGATTCCGATTCTGGAAGTTGGAGTAGGTCCGTAATGTCGAATATGACTTCTGTGCAAAATTTGAGGTCAGTCGTACGTGATTTGATAGGTTTCGGCATCGAATATAGATGTTTGAAATTCCAAAGTTCATTAAGCTTGGATTGGAGTGTGATTCATGGTTTTAGTGTTGTTTTATGTGAGGACTCGAGCAGGTCTGTGTTATATTATAGGACTTGTTGGTATGTTTGGACGGGGTCCCGGGTCCTCGGATGTGTCTCCGAGTGGTTTCGGATCATTTCGGGTTGTTTTGCAATGGCTGATGATGGTTTCTGGTGTTGTTCTTCGCGTTCGCGAGGATCCTCTCGCGTTCTCGACGAAGGATTTGGCATCTGGGATTTTGTTCTCTGCATTCGTGAAGAGAGTCTCGCGTTCGCAAAGAAGAAGAATTTTTGTTGCGCAAGTCTTACTTCGGAGGCTCATATCCAAAATCTACAAGGAATTTGGAGATGATACAAAAATGAAAGTTGTAGACCTTTGTGTCTAGTTTTCAGAAAGGTAAACTACTTAGCATTTGGATTTTTGTACAAAAAGTTATGGCTGGTACACTACAGGCTATCAGGGAAGATGAAGAAGAAATTTGTGTTGCACAGGGCTGACTTTGGCGGCTTATATCCCAAAATCTACAAAGAATTGGCCGATGACCAAAGCATGAAAATTGTATATCTTGGTATCTATTTTTCAAAACATTAAACCATTTGTCATTTGGAGTTTTATTACAAAATATTATGGCCATTATACTAGAGACTATCTGAGAAGAGTTTGAAAAATGGTTTTTGGGAATTTTCTTCTTCACGAACGCGACGGGGGTCTCGCGAACGCGAAAAATAGTTGTCTGGGCAGTGTATAAGTGTAAAGAAATGGGTTTGGCTCATTTCATCTCATTTCCTCCATGGGAGCCGACCTAGGAGCGATTTGGAGCTCCATTTTTATCATCCATGTCAAGGTAAGTGATTCCCACCTATTGCAAGTTAATTACTCGAATTATATCTAGATTTGAACATGGAAAATCATGGGAAATTAGTGAAAATTGGGGTTTTGAAGAAAAACCTAGAAATTTGGTATTCTTGGATTTTGACCACGATTTGGGCACGAAATTGAGAGTAAATTATATATTTGAGTTCGTGAGGTTATTGGTAGACTTTATCTTCGAAAAATTTCGGAATCCGGGCACGTGGGTCCGAGGCCGATTTTTTCAACTTTTCGAGCGGAGTTGGGAATTGATATAAATTGAATTGTTATGAGTGTTTGAGTATATACTTATGGGTTTGCACAACTATTGACTAGTTTTGGAGCGTTGGGCATCGGTTTGATTCGTCGGAAGGGCTTGGAAGCCGGATATGGGACTTCGGAGCGAGGTAAGTCTCCTTTCTAACCTTGTAAGAGGGAATTGACCCCATAGGTGAACTGAGTGATTATGTGCTTCTATTTGTAGGGGATACGTACGCACGAGGTGACTAGAGTCCGTACGTAGCTACTAGCTATGCCTATGTACGGGTAGTTTTAGGCTTACATCTTGCCTTGTTGATATTGTTGTTGATTTATATTTATCGCTTGCCTTGAGAGGTTGCGAGATTGAGTTTTCTTATTAAATATTTTGAAAATAGTGAAATTGAAGAATATAAGATTTAAAAGGTTTCATTTGAACTTCGTATTTTCGAAAAGAATTGAGAAATATTATAATAGCTTAAGAAAATCTATGTGTAACCGCGTCGAAGGTATGTTTCGCGAGCCAGGTAATTTCCTTAAAATGCTACAAGTTGAATTTTCCTTATTTTAAAAGGAAGCAAGAAAGAGATATGATTTAGATGTTAAAATTATATTTGACCGCGTCGCAAGTATGATCCGCGAGCGGGGTGATTCCTTAAATTTATATTTGACTGAATCACGTGCATGATTCGCGAGCGGGGTATTTCCTTCTACTACTCTTATGGGATCGGGTCGTTCGCCTCGGTAGGTTAATAGATGCATCTATGGTTTGCGTCGTTCGACACTCGACAGTGCACAATTTACTTTTATGTTGGATCGGGCCGTACGCCTTGGCATTTCCTATATATATACATCATTCTTATGGAATTCATGCGTAATATTTGGCTAGAAGCCGGTGTATCTTAGGTTTTTTCCCTGATTTGATTTATGACAACCTCTTGATGATATCCACTATATCTATATATATGCTCTGGTTACGGAGGGAACTTGCTAGCTGAGAGCTTGAGTAAAATTATAAAGAAGGGAATTGTATCACGTATTTTATACTTGCTTATTTCATATATTTACTCTGTTTCATATTTATTCACTTTATTATTGTACCTGATATTATTGGACCACTAGTAAATCTTAAAGTCAACCTCTCGTCACTACTTCTTCAAGGTTAGACGAGATACTTGCTGGTACACGTTATTTTCGTACTCATGATACGCTTGATGTGCATTCTTGTTGCACAGGCACATGTATGTCCAGTGGCCTTGTTGGGCGCAGCGGCATGGTTGATACAGAGTCTTAGGTGAGCTGCATCTCTCGAGATGACCCACGACCAGCAGAGTCTCTTTCATAGTATTGTATTGTATTTTCTTTTCTGTCCAATTTGTATTTCGGACAGTTATTGTATCATATTTACTTCCTAGAAACTGCTCATGCACTTGTGACACCGAGTTCTGGGATGATTATGAAGTACTCAGTATTTAATTGTAAACATTCTTTTATTTTTTCTGTAAAGATTATCTTTACTAGTTAAACGGAAGGAAAACCATAGTTTTCAAATTTATTAAAACGAGAACTAAATTAACTTCTTGGTGTTGGCTTGCCTGACACTGGTTTCCGGCGCCATCACGACCCTTAGTGGATTTTGGGTCGTGACAGTAATGCATTTAATGAGAAGTAAACTCAAAATTTAACACAATGTGACTAAAAGTAAGGCGATGCTAACTACTCCAAGAAATCCTGAGTGACAAGTACATGAGCAACTCTACAAGTATAATCTGAAATAAATACAACCTTTCGAATGAGATAAACAAATTTTCTATACTTCTGCACTCTTTTACGCAAATTCTGAGGCTGGTGGTCTTGGAATTCGCCCGATGCAGTAGGAGGCTTTATGGAGACTTCATGGTGAGCTGTTTTACTTGACCGATTTGCAGCACATGGAATCACCCTCCCTACTTATCTATTATGTCTATATATTTCTTTCAAACAGACAGTGCTATTATGTTGACTCTACATACTCTTGGTAGATGCTTGTGATGATTATAATATCTGAGTTTTGGACTATACAAACAATTGTAGTCGTGTTTAGACCCTGTCCGAGATAGTATATATCTATATTATTAGTTTGCGATTATTTCTATTTCTTATAATATTATAGATTTTTTCTAAATATTTGGTTAATCTGCTTTGGAACTTGATTGTTATTATGATGGCTTTCCTACGAGCGTGTTAGGTGTCGTTACGACTGTTGGTGAGATTTTAGGTCGTGACAGAAATCTAAAGTTTTAAGCACCTTAAGGCCGATTTCACCAGAAAATCCCAGAAAAATTCGTGTAAATATGGAAACAAGACAAGCCAACATGAGTGTCCAAGGAAGTTCCATACATCAAATCACTCACGAATTTTTGTGCACATAGAAGTGTAGAACTCATAAATATATTAATAATTGCTTTTGTTTGAATTTAGAATGAATGAAGAAAAGAGACTCTTGTAGTGTAGAACTCATGTAGTGTCTTTTCAACAACTAAATTTTAAATCATCCAAAATAAATTCCCCAACAATAATTAGTTATCTGAAATTATATATAATATGCTAGCTTCTTAATATTTGGATATGAGTTAACAAGTAGGTGGTGCATCAGTGCAGTTACCAGGACCACCAAATAAGAAATTATAATCCCAGTAACCATCTCGGGCATTATTCTCATTCCCTTCGCAGTAACACCTATCCCGATCTCTGTTTTAAAAGGCAGAACTGGGACTTGCCCGGGGCTCGCCCCGGGGCGGAGCACTCGTAAAACGCCCCTGGGCTTATGTGTGGGACTTAGTTCTGTGAGACTTACGCCTCGGCCATTGGGGCTTACGCCCCGGACACGCCCAACGCCCAGCGTACTGGGCTCGCCTAATAGAACTTTATGCAATTGTATGTAATTAACCTTGTAAATCTTCAATTTTCTTAATAAATCGTTGACTACTCAAAATTACTTTTTTCCTAAGTATAAATTATTAAGTTGAGAGTATTGTCATAATTAAAATAAAAATTATTGCACGTTATCCACTAAGACTGCTATGATAGTTAATTTTAAATAAATCTTTCATTTAAAAAGTATCTATTTATTAACTATTATTATGTCTTTACTATGTAATGGAGTAGTCCATAATTTTTTTTATAATTATTTTTCTTTTCGTGTTTACGAGATACAATATTTATTAATTTAATATCTCAATATTAGCTAGTAACTATGTACAAATAATTAGTTATCATGGTATTGTATGATGAATTGTGTGTCACTTTATTAACTTGTTGAAACTTAAAAATGAATGATGCTTGAGAATCATATTTAAATTGTGAATTGTATTTTCATATAAATTCTCTTTCAAATAGAAAGCATATTAAATAAAAGGAGTATTTTAATAAAAATATCAAATTATAGTATCGAAATTCTTTCAAAATTCATTACTCCTTAAGAGATACATATAAGATTTTGTATCGAATACATTACTTTTGATGCTTGAGTTGTAACGACATTGCAACTATTTGCACATTATGATATATGTCATACTTTTCATATTATTGATAGTTGAATTATAATTTATTAATATTTTAAATATATTATTTGTTATAATTTTGTAATTTTAATGTAGTTTTTATAATTAATTTTCATTTTATGCTATCCTAAAATTCTTGAAATTAGTAAAATTTAAAGATCCGTCGGACTTACGCCCCATGTCTCAGGGCTTACGTCTCGCCTCGTCAGAGGTAAAACGTCTCGCCTCACGCCCCCGCCTTTTAAAACATTGATCTCGATGAGTTTGAACAAACGATTCATCTGGCTGAACTTATCAATGTCCACACCATACATGATTTGGCGCATGCGACAAGTGAGGCGCTTATAGCCGTCCCAAAATTGACCATCCCATTGGTGGGCTCACTGTTTCACCAGCTGGTGTATGCGCCTGCCCTCCATATCTCACTCTCTCCGACCCATTTCTCAAAGCCTTGAATATGTCGTCCGGCCATAATCCAATAACAAATACAGAGAACAGCTGAAGATAATGCTCTGTACTACACATAAAAACATATTGTAGGTTTATCAATTTCTGGTGATATTTGAAAATAATGCATTCCTTAACCCAAGTTGGAAAAATCATTTACGTTTTGATTTTTTAACAATTATAGCACACGCTCTAGCAAGCCCAAATTGAAACAATTAAATCAATATAGTATAAAAGGAATTTTGATTAATAAACATGGCATGACAAATTAATTACCTTGATCCTTGTAGATCTGAATCTGCAGTTCTTGGCTGTCATACTGTGGCAACGAGACTTTTGGGAAAGCATAATCTACTGGTATTTCACTGCTAAGCTGAATGAATCCTGGACAAATACTGTTGTAACATCCTGTTTTCTGCTGACCATCTGCCTATTTCAAACAATTGTATATTTGATTTACATTTCTTTTTTTTTTTATTTAAAGAAATATGAATTCCTAAAATACTTACTGTCCAGTAGGTGTACAACCGAGTCCGTCCGTCACCATTTAGTTGTGGATGTACCTAAAACAAACATCACTTTTGGAAATGAAAATATTTCTTCCAGAATTTTAGGGAAACAAATTATGAATGAGTAATAGGAAGACAAAGAAAAGAATTATCTCATATAGACATTGATATATTTTGCATGTGTTAATAATTTTTATGATCAACGTAAGATTGCATTTTTCCCTAGTTTGTCATAGATAGATTAATGGATAGATATTTTTTTATTTAAAATTTAAATACTTCAATATTCATTTATTATCATTTACTATTTCAATTTTTATCAAATAATGACACATTTTATTTGAATTGCAATTTTCTCTAATATTTTATTAATAATATTTAAATAAATTTTATTTGATTATAGATTTATTATATTTAAATATAAAAAAAGTATGCCGATCTTATTCATTCCGTGTTCATATCCAAAGACAACATCTTAATATTCTCGGATTTAAACAACTAATTAATCTTAACGGTTAAAATAAGAGGAGATGTGAATGTGGGGGAGCTCAATAAATTTGACCTGTAATTGTTATAGACCTTAGGTGTCGTAATTTGAAATTACTTCTATTCTTTTGGTTTCTTATCATTCATTTCATATAACAAAAAGTTAAAATATGTTAAGTAATTTCTATGACACATGAATGTAAGTTTATTAAAAATTACAATCTATTCAGCTAAAAAAAAAAAAAAGAAACTTACAATCCAACCAGTTTGTATCTGCTCTAAATTTGTCGCATCACCACTTTCAAGAAATATTGTTGCAGAAGTGTATTGGCCAGGTCCATTTACTTGTGGATTATACAAAGTAACGATGGTTGAGGCACCTGTAAATTTATTTATTGCTGGGGATGCTTTTATGCTAATACCTGCAAACTGAAATAATTCTAAATTTAATTAATCAGTTCTCACTATTATTTAGGAATAAATTTGTCGCCTATAATAATAACAATTTATATTGATGAAAGGTAATTGATACTCGGTGAAATAATCAACCTCGTCAACCTATTTATTTATTTGTTTATTTGTTTTGCCCCTTTATTTTTCTAACTAATATCCCTATCTCAGCTCAAGTACAAAGGAAATAATAAAGTACTTACATCGATAATATCGTCAGTGGGGAATCCATTTGTCAAATGATGTTCCTTTGTCATTCGTCGAATAGGAACAGTTCCAATAGGACACCCTTCTTTATTCAACCAATACTCCTCTGCTTTAAAATAAGAAAATTGGTCCTTTTGCGGTTTCTTAGCTTTCAATCTTTGTTTTTCCAACTCCTTCGCAATGGTCCTCTGTTTTTTTTTAAGACGCCCACACAAAAAAAGAGGAGGATAAACTTCCAAAGAAAATTCAAGTAAAAAACGAGTTAAAATATAAAAATGTTTGCAAGAATAATACTGAAAAACTACATCCATGTAGGATTATAATTAAATAGGATTTATTGGGCGATCTCCGAGCGTTGAGTAGGCTTATTTAGTGCGCATAGTCGGGCGCTTGAAATTTAACCTCACAAAACTAAACCCCACACGTAAATCTTATAGCGTTTTATAAGTGTTCCGCCCAGGGGCGAGTCCCACAAATGCCTTTTGAAACATCGTTTGGTATTAATAGTTTTCTCCTTTCTTTAGTCCAAGTTTTCTTATCTTTGGATATGGAGAAAATCTTTTGAAGATAATGAAAGATTCAATTGCTGGAGAAAATTTTAGAGTTAATTCTTAGGAGATAACACATGAAAACATTGTATATCCATGAGGAAATCTCATATTTCGTAATTATTGCTACTGTTTGTTTAGGGATTATTTTCTCTTTCTGTTTTTTCCGACTCGGGGTTGAATAATGGGATCCTTACACAAATAGCCGGTCATATTCATTATTTATTTTTTAATGCCATATACATAGATTACACATTGATTATACACATATAATACATAAAATATATATATTACCTTTACTGGCAATTTTTTGATTAAGTGATTGGGTGGACGACTATTTGAGTTAATTTTTGTGGCTAAATGTTGTTAGGGCTAACTAAAGACGACAATTTATGGGTGGCAAAATCAGAACAAAATTATATAATCGGGCTCAAAAGTTAATGGGTTGGGCAGTATGTATTTTTCTGGTGGGCTATACCAAAAAGTAATCCGTCATAAAATGGAAAAAGGATTAGTTACCTCCCATAGCAAAGGTTGATACCTTATTTATTTTAAATAAATATCATTTTAAAAAATTATATTCTATAACTACCTTTTGATTTTTATAGCCAAATACCTATTTATGATCACCTCCTACCCTTAAGCCATAAAATTTGCTACCCTCTCTCTCATAAACTACGCTGCCTCTCTGACTTGACCCTAATGAAGGCAACGAAATCTCCATGGCCAACTCCAGTATGTTTCTTCTTCTTCTTCCTTTCCGATTTTGATTGTTGAAGTCAGTATGTTTCTTCTTCTTCTTCTTCCTTTCCATGGCAAAGAATTTTTTGGGACTTTAACCTCTTGGCAATTTCTTCTTCGGTGGGTGCTAGCAATTTCTTCCGATTCGTTACCAGCGGGTGCTAGCCAAATTCAGTTCTGGGACTTTAACTTCTTCAGATGCGTTACGGATGCTAGCAATTTCTTCTTCAACGATCTTTCTCATTTTCTTCTTCTTTCTCTCATCACTGCTTATGGAATCATGGTCGGAATCCGATGGGTCGTCGGAAAATCGTCGACTAAAATAGGTCGTCTGAAGTTTGGGGTTGAGCAATTTGAAGATTCTGTTAACTTTTTTTTAAGAGCATTTCAATGTATCTCGTTGTATTTCTATCTATTTCATTGTATTCACTATCTTTTTTTCATTGTAATTCAATGTATCTCATTGTATTCCATGTATTTCATTGTATTCAGTGTCTTTTTTTCTCATTGTATTTCAATGCATCCCGTTGTATTATATGTATTTCATTGTATTCACTGTCTCTCTATATGCCATGAATGTATTCTTATGGTTTTTTTAATTAATATAATTTATGTATTCAGATGTATTATATAATTTCTCTGAAAATTGCTATATTTTGGGGGTATTTTTCGGTTGAGAATCTTTTTTATAACTGAAAAATACAAAATTTGTGTGTTATAATTGAGTTTGTTGAGTTATATTAGGAGTCTATTATGTTAACTGATTCACTTTCCGTTTTAAAAACAGTTTAATCCCCTATTTCACGCCGTGAATACAGTCGAATATAGTCGAACACAATAATCTATCCAGCTGTAATCCCATGTTTCACTCCATGAATACAGTCGAATACATTCGAATACAACAACTGATTAGCTGGACTTCCCTGATTCACGCCTATTTTTGCTACTGTATTCATGAATACAACAGCTTAAATACATCAAATACATCTTATAACCACAGAAAAGGTATCTATAATCCGTAATATAGCAAATGGTATCTATAGATGACTAATTACTACTAAAAGATAGTGCTTTATGAAAATCTCTCATGGAAAAACTATATAAACTGTTAGTCCATAAAGAAACCATAACTAGCCCAAAACAAAATATCTATCAAAACTGCCCAAATGTCATCTTATAACACATCTATTTTGCTAGAACACACTTTTTGAGACACTGGACTTGAGCAATATTTTAATGCTCTAATTCCTTTAATTTGAAATTCAAATAATCGAGCATCTTTATTCGATTTAGAAATCACTACTAAACTTTAGTTTGTTGGATTTGATCGAAGGTTTAAATTAAAAACGTCATGAACAGCCATTGAAGCTTGCTAATTAAGCTTGAATTCAAACATTTAGTTTTTTCAAATTAGAATTTATATCGAGTGGATGTTGTTGGAATAGATTGGGTACATCTTAAGGAGTGTGAATCTCAATGTTGGGACGATTCGGTGGAGATTTCATGTGGTTTGAATTGGAATTTAATCCAAATTCGAAGTACACAAGATGAACATAGAAGAAAATGATATGTGTATCTCACTATATATCTCTCATGTATCTTTTGTGTATCACTTGTGTATCAAATATGTATCTCATGTATATCCATATATACTTGTATGTGAGATACATGTTTGATTCATATGCCGTAGAGAAATTTTTAAACTCGATTCAACTACGAATTTGACTCAAAACTAGTCCAAATCACCTCCAATCTTTCTCAAATTTTGTATATTGACTCGTCTATATGTTTTCAATGAATGTCAACCATATCCATTGAAAAAAATCCCTTTTTCTTAGGTTTTTAGAATGTTGAATACTTATTTTTTGTGTTTCATCACTTTTTTTGCTACTTCATCCATGAAATTTCTTTTCCGTCTTGCATCTAATGTTGTTAATCATGCTTAAAAATATGGAAGGTGATCTTTGCGCGTGGAAATAATCCTTATTTATCTAGGATTGTCAATTTGTATGTATTTGGTTAGTTTTTGTAAGTCTATGACTAATGGCTAGTGGTTGATAAGTTTGGACTAATTTTTGACATTTTCGTAAGATTCCCTCAGGAAATATAGATGCGTGGACATTTTCATCCCTCGAGCGAAAGTATATCGGACGGACATTTTCAGAATTACCGTTTATATTTTAACCCATTAAAAATAGTTTTAAACTATTTCCTTATAATTATAAAGCACGTTATCAGAATTTTCAAGTGCTTTAAAATTCTGGCACGAAACCCACCCATTTATTTTAAGCCTATTTTGACCCGCCAAAGTTTAGCTCAAGCCACCCATCTATTACCCCTAGACTTAGTGGAAATATAAAATATCGCAAACAAAACAGAAGTTTATGTTATCAGCTTATGTTTCTCAAAAGAAAAGAGAAAAAAGAAGGGGAAAAAACGGTTACGCAGGATTATTAGTATAAATCTTACGCACCTTAATTCTTTCTTTGTCCAGCATTGGGTGCAGAAGAGCTGGTTGTTTATAAATGTCCACACAGTCATAAATATCTCCATGAATAGTCTGCAAAAATAAGTCAATTTCACAACAAACAACAAACAACAACAACAACTCAGTAAAATCCCACTAGTGAGGTCTGGGGAGGGTAGTGTGTACGCAGACTAAACCCCTATCCCAAAGGAGTAGAGAGGCTGTTTCCGAAAGATGACCCTCGGCCCAAGAGAATAAAAAGACAAAATGAGACAATATTAGAAAAATAAAATACTACAACAATTTTTGACATCAATGTTTTCTAAAATTAAAGGAGACAATTTCACAACAATGTTTTCTAAAATTAAAAATAAAATACTACATATAAATTTTTCTAATTTGAAACATTCAACATATAAAAGATATGGATACCTCAACTGTAACGTTTGCTCTTCTACTAGACCCGTATCCTTCAACCACACAAAAGGCAATTATATTCCAAACTAAAATTATGAAACAGACAGTTGTTAGTCTTAGTGCCATCGAAACAACACACCTTTGCATTTTATTTCTGAAAACTATACTTATATATAGACTATGGTACAGAAGAAATGGTTCAATCTGGAAAGTGGTTGAAATACTTAAATAACATACTTAAACAGACATGTTATGCAATCTCATTATAAATATCTATGATTTATATGCACTTAATCTATTTATATATCATGTTGTCTAGATTTGGAATAGTATTCATAATATTATTTTTTTGGTTTTTTGACCAAAAATATAATATTTTGAATACTATTCCAGATCTAGATAACATGAATATGCTTTTTGGTACATTCCTCTCTTATGCATACTCCTATTTTGTTAACATAGTGACGTATATGTTATCCGATATTAAATGTCCTAAGCCGCACTGTGATCCTTTATTTCGTAGCATAAATTTTTTTCTAATAGAATGAGAGACAAATATGATTGTTACCACAAAGAACTTCAAAAGTTCATGGAATCTCCTCTTTGTATTTAAAAGAGAAAAACAAGAAGAGGAGAATTACTGTCACGACCCGGATTTCCCACCCTTGGGAGTCGTGATGGCGCCTACTAATAGGAGCTAGGCAAGCCAACTTAATTAACCACTCATTAAACACATATTCCTTTTTAATAATTTAAGAGCATTAAATTAAAAGCAACAGAATTAAAATCATAAGCGGAAGTCTTAAATTTAGATAGCTGAATAAAATACAGAACCCCAACACGAATCTCTACCCCGGAACTGGAGTCACATACTCACGAACATCTAAGAAGTGCTAAATACAAAGTCTGAAAGAAAGCATAAATCTGTTTATCTCGGGTACAATGAGATGACAGTCTAATATAAGGAAAAAGGAGATGCCGGGCCTGCGGACGCCTGCAAGGCTACCTCGGGTCTCTCCGGACTGAAGGTATGCTCCCGTGCTAAAGCTGCTGCTGCTGCTGCTCCAAATCTGGACATGTGCAAAAATGCACAGAGTGTAGCATCAGCACAACCGACCCCATGTGCTGGTAAGCGTCTAGCCTAACCCCGGCGAAGTAGTGACGAGGCTAGACTGGACACCACATAAACCTGTGCAGATATATATGCAAGTACAACGGAAAGAAATAACAAGAACATAACAATTTAAGCTGGGGAGGGGAGCATGCTTCAGGGGTGACAGATAGAACAAAATATCGGGAATAATGGTACGTACATATACATTTTTAACTTCTAGCAATAATGAAAAGACAAGGCAACTTTCATATTCAACTCATAGTGTTGCAGGCGTGCAACCCGATCCCATTTCTCATGAATCTCGTGGTAGGCGTACCACCCGCTCCCATTTCAATATCACTTGTGGTAGGCGTACCACCCGCTCCCATTTCAATACCACTTGTGGTAGGCGTACCACCCGCTCCCAATTCTTTCAACACATACACAATACAGTCCCGGCAAGGGAATAATCACAACAAGTCAAACATCCCAACAAGGGAGAGTCAGCTGTAACCAATCCTATTCAACTTCTTCTTGGTACAACTAATATCAATATTCAGTTGCAAATTTCATAGGATCAAACAAGGGTACACAATTAGCAAAAATAAGACTCACGGTCATGCTTGACACCGACGCATGGATACTCGTCACCATGCCCATACGTCGTACCCCACACGAATCAAATAGCAATTATCACTCAACTCCTAATTCCTCAAGCTAGGGTTAAACCAAATACTTACCTCAAACTTCCACGACCAATTCAATCCTCAACAACCGCTTTCCCTCTCGAATTCGGCTCCAACTCAACCAAATCTATGCAATAATGACTTCACGTTATCAATATGTGCTAAACAAATCAAACCCAATGTCTAATTATAACTTTTTCATCCATTTACCCCAAAAGGTCAAAAATGCCCCCGGGCCCACATGGTCAAAACTCGAGGTTCGAACCAAAATCCGATTACCCATTCCCCCATGAACTCGGATATATAATTTATTTTGGAATTGGACCTCGAATTGAGGTTCAAAACCCCCAATTTTAGAAAACCTAGGTTCTACCCAAAATTCCCAAATTTTCCCATTAAAATCTTTGTTTTGAAGTTGAAATTATGTTTAAAGATGATAAAGAGTAAAGAAAATGAGTTAGAAATCACTTACCAATCGTTTTGGAGAAGAAGAATCGTTTAGAAAATCGCCTCTTATATTTTGGGTTTTGAAAAAGTGAAAAATGACTGAAATTCCCGACCTTATATACCCCCTGAAAGACCCAGCGCGGACCGCGCACAAATGGACCACGGTCGCACTAAAGAACTGAACAACATATACTCTCTGAATCCTCCAGCGCGGACCGCACAAAAGGGGAACGCGGTCGCGCTGGTAGACCTGGGAAAATGCTGGCTCTCTGAAGTTAGCTACGCGGACCGCGCATGGACGACCGCGGCCGCGCAGCTTCCACCGCAGACCGCACTAAGGCCACCGTGTCCGCGCAGCACGCACCGCGGACCGCGCTAAAGCGACCGCGGGCGCGCTGGAGCCTGCAATTCCCTAAACCTGCAACATCTGCTATTTCTAAGTCTAAGACCTCCTGGGGCCTACTCAAAACCCACTCGAGCCCTCGGGGCTCCAAACGGAACATACACATAACTCCAAAAACACCCTACAGACTCATCCGCGCGATCAAATCGCCAAAACAACATCATTAACATCAAATTAGGCCTCAAGACCCATGATTTCCTTCCAAATTTTTCATAAAACATCAAGTTTAGAGATTTTTTTAGTCCAAAATACGTCAAACGACGTCCGAATTCAACCAAACTTACAGAAGGTGCTTAAACAATACATAAGACTTGTACCGAGTGTCAGAACCAAAATACGAGCCCGATACCACAGTCTTTTAATCAAATTTCATTTCCAATTTCCTTAATTATTTCCAGATAAACAATTTCACACAAAAATTCATTTCTCGGGCTTGGGACCTCGGAATTCGATTCCGGGCATACGCCCAAGTCCCATATTTTCCTACGGACCCTCCGGGACCGTCAATTCATGGGTCCGGGTCCGTTTACCCAAAAATGTTGACCGAAGTCAAATTTATTCAATTAAATACCAAGATTTAACATTTTTCTCACAATTTTCATATATAAACTTTCTGTCTACGCGCCCGAACTGCGCACACAAATCGAGGCAATCCCAAATGAGGTTTTCAAGGCCTCGAAAGTACGGAATGAATAAGAAAACAGGTGATGACCCTTTGGGTCGTCACATTCTCCACCTCTAAAACAACCGTTCGTCCTCGAACGGACAAAAGAAGGAAGTACCTGAGTCGGGGAAAAGATGGGGATAACGGCTCCGCATATCAGACTCGGACTCCCAGGTCGATGCCTCAGGAGGCTGACCTCTCCACTGAACACGAATAGAAGGAAAACTCTTGGATCTCAATTGACGAACCTGCCGGTCTAGAATAGCTACCGACTCCTCCTCATAGGACAAGTCCTTGTCCAACTGGATAGTACTGAAGTCTAACACGTGGGTAGGATCGCCGTGATACCTCCGAAGCATGGATACATGAAAAACTGGATGCACGGCTGATAAGCTAGGCGGCAATGCAAGCCTATAAGCTACCTCTCCCACTCGATCAAGAATCTCAAACGGGCCAATGTACCTAGGGATAAGCTTGCCCTTCTTCCCAAATCTCATCACGCCCTTCATAGGCGACACTCGAAGCAATACCCGCTCACCAACAATGAATGCCACATCTCGAACCTTGCGATCTGCATAACTCTTTTGCCTAGACTGAGCTGAATGAAGCTTATCCTGAATGACCTTGACCTTGTCCAAGGCCTCCTGAACCAAATCAGTACCCAACAACCGAGCCTCTCCCGGCTCAAACCATCCAACCGGGGATCGACACCGTCTACCATATAAAGCCTCATAAGGAGCCATCTGGATGCTCGACCGGTAGCTGTTGTTGTAGGAAAACTCCGCTAAAGGCAAGAACTGATCCCATGAACCTCCAAAGTCAATAACACCTCCGCTAAAGGTGTTAAACGGTGATTTTGGGCAAACTCCGGAGCAGTTTTTAGCACATTCGAGGACTAATGTATGTTTAAGTGAGAGACAATGTAACGATCCAATCGGTCATTTTGAGCTCTAGCGCGTCGTTCGGCGGGTTAAGGCCATGAGTAGCTTCATTTCATGTATTTTGACTTGTACGCGTGGTTGGAATTGAATTTCGGAAGGTTCGGAGTTGATCCGGATGGAAATTTCTAAATTTAGAAGCTTTAAGTTGGAAGAGTTGACCGAGGTTTTACTTTTGAGTAAATGACCTCGGAATCGAGATTTGAAGGTTCCTGTTCATATGATGATTGTGGACTTGAACGTATGCCCGAATCAGTTTTTGGATGACCCCGGAGCGTTACGGGGCTTATTATGGAAAGTTGGCATTTTGGAAGAATTTCATGAATTTGAGTGGAAGTATATCTTAATGTTATCGATGTCTGTTTGGGATTCCGAGCCTGGGATTAGTTCCGCATGGTGATTCTGGACTAATGAGTGTGTCCGGATATTTATTTGGAAGTCCGGAGTTAATTTTGGCTTGAAATGGCGAAAGTTGGAAATGGAAGGTTTGGATGTTTCACCGGGAGTTGAATTTTTGATATCAGGGTCGAAATCCGATTCTGAAAATTTGAATATGTCTGTTATGTCATTTATGACTTGTGTGCAAAATTTGAGGTCAATCGGACTTGATTTGATAGGTTTCGGCATCGAATGTAGAGGTTGGAATTTCTTAGTTTCATTAGGCTTGAATTGGGGTGCGATTCGTGTTTTTAACGTTGTTTGATGTGTTTTGAGGCCTCGACTAAGTATGTATGATGTTTTAGAACTTGTTGGTATTTTTGGTTGGGGTCCCAGGGACCTCGGGCATGTTTTAGGTATGTTTCAGGTGTTATCGATAAGTTTGGGCTGCTTTGGATGCTGGTTTTCTGATGTCTGGTATTGCTCTTCGCGTTTGCGAGGAGCTTCTCACGTTCGCGAAGAAGAATTTTGCTGCTGGGACTTTGCTCTTCGCGTTCGGAGGAGATTCTCGCGTTCGCGAAGAAGGAATTCCTGCTGTCCATCGTCCGACTTTGGAAGCTTATATCTCGCAATCTATAAGTAATTTGGAGATGACCAAAAATAAAATTTGTAGCCCTTTGTCTCTAGGTTTCAGAAAATCAATCCATTTGGCATTTGGAGTTGTGTGCAAAAAGTTATGGTTGGTACACTACAAGCTGTCCGGAAAGATGTTTGGAAATCACGAAGAAGAAATTTGTGTTGCACAGGGCTGACTTTGGCAGCTTATATCTCGAAATCAATAAGGAATTGGGAGATGACCAAAATATGAAAGTTGTAGATCTTGGTGTCTAGTTTCCAAAAAGTTAAACCATCTATCATTTGGAGTTTATTTACTAAAAGATATGACCATTATACTAGAGGATGTCTGAGAAGATTTTGGAAATGGCTTTTGAGAATTTTGTTCATCACGAACGCGATGGGAGGCTCGCGAACGCGAAGAAGGAAGTCGGGGCAGTGTTATAAGTCCTCTATTTTGGGCCTTTGAGCCATTATTTCGTATTTTTAGTTGGAAACTTCGGGATTTAGCAATTTTGGAGAGGCCACAGAACTTGGGGTAAGCATTCTTGACTCACTTGTGATTATATTTCATGGATTAATATTCATTTTCGGTGTTAGATTATCGATTTTTCAAGAAGAAATTGCAAGAAATTTCTATAATTTCACAAAACGAAATTTCGAATTTTGAATACAGATTCAGAGTTGGATTTAAATGAAATTAGTATGGTTGAAATCGTTAGTGAATGGGTTGTCGGATTTTGTGAGTTTTGTTGGGTTCCGAGACGTGGGCCCCACTGCCAACTTTTCGAGCAGAGCTGTAAATTTTATAAATTGTTAAATTTCAAGCATTGGCATATATTTTTTTTTATTAATTTGCGTGTTGTTTGACTAGTTTCAGATTGAACGGCACCATGTTGGGGCTTTAGAGCGAAATTGTGACCGGAAAGTGGGCTTTAAGACGAGGTAAGTCTCTTTTCTAACCTTGTAAGAGGGAATTAACCCCATAGGTGAATTGATTAATATGTGCTTTATTTGTGGGGGTTACGTATGCACGAGATGACAAGAGTTCGTAGGTATCTACTAATTATGCTTACGTCCAGGTAGCTTAGGACGCAATTATGTGATACTTGTGATAATTGCACCTTGCTAATTTAAATGCTTAAATCATATTGGAACTTGATAACGGACTTGTAAAAGGTCGAATTTCATTTACTTGAGTTTTGTACGGGTTAATTGACCGTTAATGAGAATTGGCGTTTCTTTGAATATTAGCCTCTTAAAAATCTTGAATCGGTTGTTTATAAAGTATTTTCTCTTCTTGTGGAGCGGGTCGAACGTCTCAGTAGCAGATAGATGCATCTATGGTTCGTGTCGTTCGATCCTTAGCAGTGCACATTTTACATATATGTATGTTGGATCGGGCGTACGACCTCAGCATAATTTGCGCGTAAAAACTTGGAGCCCAATTATATTTGATATTGTTTCATTGGCTTGAGAGATTAATTCGTTAAATAATGGAAATTAATTTGGAATTTACTATTAGTGAACGAATTGTTCATTTATTTCTTGTTATTGAGTTTTCAGCTGTATTTACATATTCATGCTTAATTATACTTTATTGTTAGCCCATAGTAAGTGTCCAAGTCAACCCCTCGTCATTACTTCTTCGAGGTTAGACTAGATACTTACTGGGTACACGTTGATTTACGTCCTCATGCTACACTTGCTGCACATTTTGTGCATGTACATATATGTCTAGTGGTCTTATAGGCATAGAGGCGCGGCTATTGTGGAGACTTATGGTGAGCTGCATTCCAAGTACGAATCCGCAGCATACAGAGTCCCCATCAGAGTTATTTATTTTTTTCTGTCTAATTTGTATTCTACATAGGTGTTGTATTTTATCATATTTCCTAGTTGATACTTATCCACTTGTGACACCAGGTTTTTGGGGTGCTTACGGTTGTCCATCGTTGTAGTTTGTGAAAGTATTATTATTTGTCCTCTATTTCTTACTATTTTAATTAATGAAAATTATGATCTCAAAATACTAAAATAGGTAATTAAGTTAATAATTCATTGTTGGTTTGCTTGACGGCGGTGTTAGGTGCTATTACGACCTTTAGTGGATTTTGGATCGTGACAATTTTTAACGGGTTGAAATGGGCTTAGCCCAGAATGACCCATCAATAAAATTCTTTCATGCCCAACCCATTATTTGCTGGGCTGGTTGGGGCGGGTTATATGGGTTTGGGCTCAAAATGCAACCCCTAATAATGCGAGTGTCCAACTAGTTTGAATATGAAGGAGAATTTTTGGGCCTAAAGGTAGAGGTCCAAGTCCACAATTATACCAAAAAAATTACAGAAGTATAACCCATTTCGGGATGGTCTTGTTCCCCGAGCAAAATTTTAAGGTAAAAAGTTAAAAGTATTATTCATAGGGTAAGCGAGAGACAACACTTATAAAATTTAAAGTTCTGCTCATAAAACAAATGAGAACAAAAATTCAAGACGGTCCACTTCTTAGGCTTTTTGTGTACTTCATTCTACTTGGTCCAATTGATCAATGGTTACATATAAGTCCGGACAAATACTTAGTGGAAAAATTCCAGCTATATGCAGTATCTTTGACCTTTTCCTTGTTCTTTCACTATTCCTTCCTCCCTAGCGGGTCCCACTCTGAATTTTAGCTGAATTATACTCTGGAAATTCAAATCTATAACTTCAGTTGACTATGAATTATTGTCAATGCTTTACTTACACTCTGCTCGTAGATGTGCACTTGTAACTAATTCCCTCTCTCTAATACTAGATGAGATTGGCCCGTTAAAGCCCGGGCCCAATGACATAAGACCTATTATAAGAACAATAGCAGATAACAGTAGTCATTCCTTGCTCAACCTTCGTATTTAATTTTCTTAGTTCTTTTTTACATAGCAGTGGTGGTTAAAGTTGAACGAAGTTTAAGTTTACGGCAAAAATGCCATTTTGTAGACAAAAGAACAACAACACATTCCCTTTCCACAGCTTCGAGTCACAGTATCCACTATCCAGTAGTTCCTCATTCCATTGTCCAACTGCTTGAACAACATTCTAGTTGTTTAGTCCTGCAACAATGATTAGTCAAGAATGCTGTAAAACATTATATTCAGTAGTTATGGTTCCTTTAGATATTTGCAACAGATAATATTTTTTAGTTTTAAATTCAAGAATTGTATTTTAGTTTTGTTCAATTTTTTATTCTTGTTTGGCTATATTTTGTCCGGCGAACAAATTAATGAATTAGGAACCAATCAGATGAGTAAGCTATTAAAAGGACCCAGCCGCATTGTTGTCTTGTTATTTAATTAGCATATTATTAGTTGATTTTTGTCGGGTGAACCAATTATTGAATTAGGAACCAATAAGATGAGTAAGCTCTCTGTAGCATCTGTATTCTCTTATTAGTAAAAGAGCACGCGTAAGCTAACTCAAAGAGAAGTATATCGCAAGCAAAAGAGTATAATTTGATTAAAGCAATCAAGCCAAAGTAAATATGCCTTGCCACAGATTTCCTCTAAATTAAACCAACCGTACCAACTATATTTAGTGGTATACTTAGTGAACATATTATGGCAATACTAATCCATTTAAGATAAATTAAGAGTGACTATGAAAATTCTACTCAAAACAGTCTTCAAAATTGATTGATAATATTATTGGGGTATTAAAAAAAACACATATATATTAAGTGACTGAGTGCTAACACACAGAAAGAAACACAAAAAGTGAAGTTACTGTACAGATAGTTGCTGCATAATATGATTGGATAGTGCTCATAAATAAGTTCATTCTGAAATAAATAGCGAATTATAGAGAAATTGTGAAAGCATGTGATTGGAACACTCACAGTTGATTTTAATGACAACTGAAAGAGTAATGTCTTTATTTCGGTGAAAAAGGACTGTCGATTTTGTTCATGTGATGTATGAGCTTTCATTTCCTCTCTTTCTTTATCTCTAAATTGAGCAAAGCTCAAAGCTTTTCCTCCCGATCACTTTTTTTTTATTTTTTATTTTAGATGTATTTGTTTTAATCCAAAAATAAGCCTTATTGTTCAAACAAAATCAAATAGATATACTTTGATATGTATATTGCGCATCAGAAAACTATCCTTTTTTCAAAAGGATAACAGTTTAGCAACGACGTTATGTAATCACGCAAGCCAACCCTTATTTTTAGTATAATAGCAAAAAGTTTGTTGCAACAAGAATCACTCAAATGAACAATAAGCAAAACAGCTGGCAACAGAATATTTTAATCTCTTTACCTTTGTTAGGAATATAGATTAAAAGCATGAAATTTCTGTTTCATATACCAGTAGTATTAGCCAAAAAGTTATCAGATTAACAAAGAATTACCGGAATTCTTCATTTGTCTTAAATTGAAGAATAAGTCGTCTTGAGCAAAATTTAATGGTGTATTTCTTTAACGGAGATAATGCACAACAACTCACAAACATATGTCATTCATAGAAGAAAACAAATAGCATATAGTTATAACTGTAGTAGAAAAGTTGAGTTTAGCCTTACCTCAGCTGATGAATGCGAGCACAAGCATTTGTTGCAGTCAGCAAGATGGACATATACTTCATAGCTCACAACATTCATATACCTAAGAGATACTTTAATAAGATGAGAACTCAAGCAGAAGTCATGCTACCCATACTGACAGTTTTCTTCCTCCCTCCTATCACACAAGCAGTAAACCTTTAGTTTCTACTAGTGCAGAAAATCATTTCTTCTTTTATCCGCTCATTATGACCCCTTTTATCCTAAAATAGACCAAATCAGCCAACAACAAATTAATCACTGACAGTGCGGGATATAAATTACAATCAGTCGAGCAAACAGTCTCGTCGTTGTTAGCTAGAAGAAAAATTAGATCTTCCAAAAGCAGTAAAGTTCAAGAACCTAATTCAAGCATGGTGCCTACCATAGATGTGCGCTAACTTATGTTATATTTTACATATTTCTAGTGAATAGTCCTTTTCAAGTGAATATTTCTAGTAATCACCAATAAGACCTAAATTAGTTTTAGTGAATAACTCTAGTAATCACCAATAAGACCTGAATAATGAGCATGTGATCCCAAGAATACTGCAACATGAAACTATCTATTATTGAGGCAGCAAAATTGGACAGCACAGAGAGGACAATAGGGGAAAAAATAACACAAGAGCTCCAAACCAGACAATAAAGAGAATTTTTTTTTCTAAAAAGATCTATAATAATGATGCTATGATTGTGAGAGACAATATCACAACCATCACATAAATCTCCACTACAAATAGACTTAAGAAGTCATTAACTAAATAAAACAAACACATTGTGGGCGTCGATAAATTACTCACTTAGGCACAAACAAAGACACCCATAGCCGTTTGAGAAGAATCGTATCCTAGTGCGGTGCTTGCCTTCCGTTGCCTCAATACCCAAAGTTTTACCTTTCGATGCCTCGATACCCAAAGTTAGGAAAACAAAATAAAGATTTTCTTTGGAAACCTATCCCATGCACTTTTGTAATTTTAGCGATCATACGAATTTTGTTAGAAGTGTGGCAACTCAATCTGTAGAAGATGTAATTAAAATTTTAACCATAATACATCAACGAACCCAAAGAAAGAGCTTTCAGTGCTTTATTCCAGAACCAACAGAACAATAAATTTTTATTCACATATTTTTTATCAGTACTTTATTTGAAAACCAACAGAATTATATTTTTTATTCACAAATTCTCAATAAAACACTAATAAAACAGGAAGCAAAGCAAATAAAAAAGGGCAGTACAATAATAGAGAAAGGCTCACCAGAAGTATTGATATTTCCAGGAGAGAAACCGAGAAATGTTGGAGAAAATAGAGAAGTACAACAGAGAAAGGTGATGAGCAGAATAAACCCGGTGGTCACAACTTGTTTATGCTGTTGTGCGTCGTTATCTCCCAACTGTCCTACTAAAAAAAAATTAGCTATGTGTCCTACGGTAATTTGAGAAATAAGAGAAATTACCTAAATGCTCCTGTGTCGGCAAGTAGGGATGTCGACGGTATCCTGCTTGCTTTAGCGCTCTTCTATATAGTAGAAAAACTTTAATTTCTAACAGATTAACGCTTCCACTAACTTTATCCGAACAAGTAAAAGCCCTTTTATATAACCCAATCCAAATAAAGTTAAATTTGCTTAAGCCAAACAATTGAATTTAAAAGAAAATTTAATTAGCTTGATGTACAATTTAAGTTTGTAATTGATTTGTTTCGCGGCTCTGTCTGAGCCGGCCAAGGGAAGGAAAAAAAAACTCATAGAGATATATACAAAGCAAAAATTATTTTCTTTTTCTTGACAAACAAATAGTAAGTACTACGTAGTACAATTTATATCTCAGCTTGGGGAGTGACAACTGCGGTTACTACGCATCTATGACGCCTGTACCAAACAGCTAAGGATGCAAAGGTTGCTCATAGTAAGAATTTGGAAGAAATGCAGTCGAGCGATTGTTGTAAACTTAACTCGACGTAGTCACTTGTAAATGGATTATTTATAGGGCGCCCATCCATTGCAACTACTGTTAGATTGTGCATCGCGATCCCAAAGACGAGAGTTTTGCCCGCTGCTGCGTTAACAATCCTCAGGAGATACGTCTTTCCTGTCTCCACTGCTATCTTGAAAGTTCCTATATATGTCCATATAAGGGAAACAGAGGTTAAAGAATTATACAACGAATTAGCATTCGGGTTAATTCATACCATTATTAGAGCAAGGGTAAAAATCTCCGGGCTGACTGTTTATAGTGAAAGCATCAGAATGCATGATATTGCTGCTTGATGCGATATATTCAAGTATAACTTCCTTGAGATCCTTCTTCCACCATTCACCTGTGTAAATCAAACAAATAAATCAAAGTATGTTAAAATTTGAGAGAAACTAAACCATTAACTGGGAAATTAATGCATGTACGTACCTAAAATGATGGGGATATCAGCATGAGGCTTGGGAAAAGGATAAGAAATTCCAGGCATGGGATATACAACAATTGCACCATGAACTGTGGCGCTTTGCCAGATATTCATGGCATGCCACCATAGTGTCCCTTGGTCAGATATTGTGATGTTTTGGCGTACTTTTCTCCCTGGTTGGATTAACCATATTAATTGCCTTTCATGCCTCGTCAAGTATCTTCCCTCGCGCCTGCAACTTCATTTTAATTAAGTTGGAACAACAACAGAAGAAATTATGAATCAGAAGATATATACTCCGATCCACTATAGTAATCTGTATGAGTAGTAGATATAATGTGCTAAGACAAAGAAAAAATAAGACAGAAGAAGTGTGATACTATATACCAGAAGATTGTAAGGTTGTCATTTCCTTTGTTTTCGACATCCATAATCAGGGTTTCTCCTGCGTGAGCATATATCGTGGGGGCTGGAGATTTTCTATTCACGGTGAGAATATTCTTTGTTTCGCAGAGCCTCGTGAAAGAAGCTTCCTCAACCTGCATGTCAAGTGCCATGCATGCAAGAGTCATTTAGTTAGTAGTACTAGCTACACAATTACAGAGAAATTTTTTTTGAGCAAAAGATCATTGTATACTTACAACGAAATGTGAAATATTCTGAGCTGAAGCTAACTGATCATGAAGAATAATGGCGGCGGTCACAAGACTCAGAACCATGAATACACTATAGTACTGGCCCTTCCTAACTACAGTTCCCATCGTTTTCGTAATGATTAATTGGCTGCCTTTTGTTTCAAACTGAATACTAAATGTGGCACAAGCGAAAAGATAGACTGGTCGATCGATGAGGAATTTTTTTTTGAAATAACAAATACAGAAGAGAGCCCATTTCTCTTGGTGAATTTTAAATCATGTCAAATTTTGATGAATCGAGGAGAAGGTATCTCTGATAAAATCTGGTATCAAACTGTGTTAATCTCCGTGAATATAATATATAAGCTGAGGAAATAAAAACAAACAAAATGTGATCCCTGTATATATTTAGACTAATTAAGACATACATAAGAATTAATTACATATATTTTCCTTGTTATAACCTTACGTACCCCATCAGCTGCAAAAAGGATTCTGGGAAACCATCCTAATCTGGATATATATATATCTAGAACTGTATTGAAGTTCTGAAGATGTCGCTTTCAACGCTAACAAAAAACTATAGAAAAATAGAACAATCGAATGCGATTGATTTCACATTGGAGTAATAGTAGCTGCTATATTAACCATCAAAAGAAGAGAAACTTGTATGTATTACGGTAAGAAATTTCCCATTCATACGACATTATCAGAATCACATTGATAAGGAGGTAAAAGAGAACTAGATAATTAAATTAGAAGCACGAAATTTTCCCTACAAATGACATTAATGCTATCAGAATATTAGTACATTGACTTCCTCCCATAAGTAGGAATAAAGAAGAGAAATTAATAAGAAGCAACAAAAATTTCCTTGTATATATGAAGGAAAAATGATGGAAATAAAGTTAGAAATGAATATTTGCCTGTGGTTTCCGAGTTCTCCGAAGATTATTTGATATTTGCGTGAAAGATGAAAGTCTCATCATGAAACCAGTTATTCTGATGATTGAACCAACTTGATTTAATTCGCGCTTTATTAATATCATTAATATAGCAACAAATTTTCTTTCTACCTATTCGTGAAAATTTTGTTTGGAAATCCAACGAAATTAGATGATAACTATATAATAACGTATCTCAACATGTATAAACGTTGTGAAATTACGTTGTTGAAAGTAATATGCGTCAAGTCACGGAAAAAAGATACTACTAGAAATTTTGACATGCATTATCGACGGCATAAACAAATATCCGAATTTCGCAGAGAATGTTAGTTAATTAAGGATTGAATATGTCAGTTACATCACTAGACATAATTGATTGAAACCAATAATTACAGAACTGAGGATTAATGTTAGTCGATGCACGACATAAAACTAGTTTCCACATATAGTTAATATTGATCACCTTACGTAAGACCGTTGAGTGTCATTAATTAATTCATATGATATTAATGACATCGCAATCACACTGACCCCCTTCCAGAAAAGAAAAGAATCAAATTAAAAAAATGAAGAATTAACCCCAAAACTAAAAATAACCGGCCGAGGTATAATATATGCATAATTTATGTATTATATATGTGTCACAACCCAAAATCCACTAAAGTCGTGATGACGCCTAACACCGCCGTCAGGCAAGCTAATAGTGAATGATTAACTTAATTACTCATTTTAGTATTTGAAATCATAATTTTCACCAATTAAATAGTAAGAAAAAGAATTTACAGGGTAAATGATAATATTTTCACAACTACAATAATGAACAACCCGCAAGCACCCCCAAAACCCGATGTCACAAGTCCATGAGCATCAATTGGGAAATATGGTAAATACAACTTCTTTCTGGAATACAAATTACACATGAGAATGTAAATAACTCTGATGGAGACTCTGTGTGCTGCGGACTCTTAACATGGGATGTAACTCACCTAAGTCCCCGCGATAGCCGCGCCTCTGCGCCCACAAGATCACTAGACATATATGTACCTGCACAAAATGTGCAGTAAGGGTAGTATGAGTACGTAAATTAACGCGTACCCAGTAAGTATCCAGTCTAACCTTGAAGAAGTAGTGACGAGGGGTCGACCCCGACACTTACTATGGGCTAACAATAAAATACCGATACTATAATTAAGCATGGATTATGTAAAAAAAAAAAAGCGGAAAACTCAATAACAAGGGATGAATAAACAATTCTTTCACTTCATTGATAGTAAATTCCAAATTAATTTCCATCATTTAACAAATTAATCTCTTAAGCCAATGAAACAATAGCGAGTATAATTGGACTCCAAGAATTCTTTTACGCACAAATTATGCCGAGGTCGTACGGCCCGATCCAACATACAAATATATAAACTGTGCACCGCCGAAAGTCGAACGACACAAACAATAAATGCATCTATTAAACTGCCAAGACGAACGGTCCACTCCCATGAGAGTGGTGGAATTTACCTCGCTCGCGGAATATACTTGCGACGCGAGTGAACATAGATTTCTCAAAGTTATCATAATATTCCTCAATTCTTTTCAAAATAAGAAATTCAAACTGAAAACTTTTAAATCTCGAAATCCTCAATCTTAATTCTTTTCAAGGCAAATAATAAGCATAATCAAATAACGGTATCAACAAGACATGTTGTAAACCTAAGACCATCAGAACATAAGCATAATTAGTAGCTACGCATGGACACTCGTCACCTCGTGCGTACGTAGCACCCACAAATAGAAGTACATATTAATTCATTTCACCTATGGGGTTAATTCCCTCTTACAAGGTTAGAAAAGAGACTTACCTCGCTCCGAAGTTCCATAACCGGCTCCAAAGCTTTCTCCCCAACAACTCAAATCGATGGTCATCGCTCCAAAACTAGTTAATCAATGTGCAAATCCATAAATATATACTCTAATACTCATTATAATTCAATTTATAAAAATTTCCAACTCTGCTCGAAAAGTCGATAAAGTCACCCCCGGGCCCACATGCCCGGATTTCAATTTTTTTTGAGATAAACACTACCTATAATATTGCGAACTCAAATATATAATTTATTCCCAATTTCATGGTCAAAATTTAAAGTACCAATTTCTAGGGTTTTCTTTAAAATCCCAAATTTCTACAAATTTTCATGCTTGAATCCATGTAAAATCCTTGTATTTAACTCACAATAGGTGGGGATAACTTACCTTGCCTTTGATGATGAAAACCTCCACTTGAAGCTCTCCAAGAATCGCCCCAAACCAAGAGAGAATGAAAGATATGGGCAAAATCCCGTCTTAAAACAACTCACTGCCCAGCTCGGCCTTCGCACCTGCGGTCCTTTGGCCCTTCAGCGCCTCTGCTTCTGCGGAGGATCCCTCGCAGGTGCGGCTCTCCCCCAAGGCCAACTCCTCGCTTCTGCACTCATTCACCCGCAGGTGCGCATCCGCTTCAGCGGAAAATCTTCCGCACCTGCAGACTCCCAGTCCCTCACTCCCTTTCCGCTTCTGCGACCACTAGGCCGCTTCTGCGGGCTCGCACCTGCGGCCCTTTTCAAGCAGGTGCGATTGCACCAGATTCCCAGCTATTTCAGCTCTTTCTCGAAATCCAAATTCGATCCATTGACCATCCGGAATCCACCCGAGGCCCTCGGGACCTCAACCAATTATACTAACACATCCCAAAATGCAATACGAACTTAGTCGAGCCTTCAAATCACATCAAACAACGCTAAAACCATGAATCGCACCCCAATTCAAGCTTAATGAAATTAAGAACTTCAAATATCTACATCTGATGCCGAAACTTATCAAATCACGTCCGATTGACCCCAAATTTTGCACACAAGTCATATTTGACATTACGGACCTACTCCAACTTCCGAAATCGGTATCCGACTATTGATACCCAATTTTTCCCTCATATATTTTAATGCATAGGGCATGAACATCAACAAGTATTTTCCCATAATTTTCTGTAATTTTAAAAGAGATTTTAATTAATTTATTCCAGCATTTTATTATCTAAATTATTACTAATTACATCACAAATAATTTTATAATAAATTATTACTCGATTTTTATTATTTATCTTTATATTAAGCTTTAATCATTTTATGCATAAATATATTTGTATCTTTAGGCTATAATTGCAATAACTTTGCAATAATAGCCCTTATATGCATAATTATATTATTTACACGGAAAATGACTTTTTATATTTTATAATATTAAGTAATTATTTTTAATCATTTTTATGCATAAATATATTTTTTATCATTTATTAGCTATTTTCATAAATCATTTTATCAAATTAATTGGGTATTTAACAAATAGCCTCTTTTAATTTGATTTCTTTCAGACCTGGCCAAATTACCACCCCAGCCCAATTAATTGACCCATTAACCGATAACCCAATTTTTATAACCCTCCCAACCCCCATATTCGATCCTGGCCGTTGATCTCAAGAGATTAACGGTCCAGGATATTCTTACCATTTTTAATTAACCAACAACCCCCAAACCCTAATCATTTTACCAAATCCTCCGCCCCTGAAACCCTCTCCTCCTCTCTTCTCTCTCACCCTCCTCCTAACCCTAGCCCGCCGTCACCAGAGTCCCTTCGATCCATGGGTTTCTTCTTTGATTCTAGGCCTTATTCGGGCTCCTATCTCCACTGGTAGTTCGACTTCCACGTTATTTGATGGAATCTCAAAGAGATTCGACACAGACTCAGTTCAAATCCCTTATTTTCTCGATGAATCCGTCTGTGTTCATTCCTATGTTTGTGAGTACTGATATCTTCGTGTTTATGGCTTCAAATCTCTAGTTCAAACTAGATTTTTCTCACCTCTGTTTATTTTTTACATAACCTAACTATTTCTGGCTAAATCGTTCAGATCTCCTTAGATCTGAAGCGGTTTGAGTTTGTTTGTTATTTTTCCTTTAAGATTCTGCTGTTTTTCTTATTATAGTTAACCGATTTTCGTGTTTTCTAAAAGCTAGGGTTTCATATTTTTAAGTTTCTGGAAAATGTTTTAAAATGTTTAAGTGTTTAACTCCGGTTTTCTTCCTTTACTTTTCGACTGATTTTCATCCCTGTGTCTTTATGCCCTAGGGTTTCTAATTATTCTACTACTTGCTA